AGTAGTCAGTATTTTCAAAATTGGGGAAAAGGCAACTCAAATACTTCCGCTTCTCTGCTCTTTGCGCTTTCTCGACTTCTGTTTTTTGAGGGAAAGGGGAGGGTTGGGGGGAGGGGAGGCGGATTCGATCCCTTTTGCTGGCTAGTTAGGAAAATTTTAGGGGGCGGGGGGAGTCGATCTCTTTTTGGCTAGTTAGGATTCTTTTTTAGGGATTGCATGCAGCGAAAAGATCTTTTTTTTTTTTTAAAATTAATTTTATCTTTTCAAATATTACATTAGAGCGAAATTTTTATATTATCAAATGACGTTAATAATCATGTATGGATATTAGTAACGTTCATCAATCAATAAACAATGCTATAAATGAGCTTAATTTGATTATCATCTTTATCACCATGCTATCACTATCCCAGATTTTTTTTAAGCAACTCTTTATAATAATAATAATCATGTCAGATAATTAATTCTTCCTGTACTTCTCTTTATTCTTATTATTTTTATAACTACTTTTCATTATCATCACCATCAATTTTGTCTTATCATCGTTGTAATTGTTGAAACAGCGTACATCACTTATTATTACATATACTGAATATCATGTTAGGATTATGCTGTTATTGTTCTAACTATTATTATTATTATATACTACTATTATTTTATTATATTAATTACTGTTATTATTATTATATTATTATTTATAAATTAAAAATTGTTATTATTGTTATAATTATTATTTATCATTAACCTATTATGATTATGTTATTGTTATTATTATTATTATTATTTACTATTATTATTAAATATTAATTATCATTAATATTATTCATTATTTTCATTATCATCATTTTCATTTATCACCATTATTGTTATCGTTATTATTATCAATTATTATTAATTTACTTTATATTATTATCGTATTATTTATTGTTACTATTATTATTATTTATTATTAATCAATATCATTGTTACTATTATTATTATCATTATTCATTATATTATCATCATTATCATTATTTTTTCTATTGATAATTACTATTATATTATCATTATCATTATCATTATCATCATTCGTATTACCATATTTAAAGCAATATACTAACAGTAGTAGTAATAGTAGTATAATGATAATAATAATGATGAAAAAATAATAATGATAATGATAATAATAATAATAATAATAATAAATAATAATAATAATAATAATAAAATATGACAGAATGATGATAATAATAAAATAGACACCCCATACAGAGACTAAAGTTATTGGAATGAGGAACAACAGTAATCATCATTAAGAGAATCACAGAAAACGGGAAACTCGCCAAAAACTCGATTCCCGTTTTCTTTTCCGGTTCGCCATTTCAGTCTCGTCTCTTTGGGCGCTTGCAGATCTAGTCCTTCCTCTCTCTCTCTCTCTCTCCCTCTCTCATGTTTTTTTGCAGACCCTTTTACTAGCTCGTTCAAAACCGGTAACACACACATTTCTTCTGGAATCTTCTGCTGCGATCAACAACTTTCTTCTCTTTCCTTTGCGAACTTTTAACTTACTTTTTTTTTTTTTAACTTCCCTACCCTCTCCTTTTGCAAACCTGAGCCGTCCCCCCCCCTATCCACTCCAGCCTCCCCTGTGCTTCACTTACTACTCCTACTCCTCCTTCTCCTCCTCCTGTTCTTCCTTCTTTTGCTTGCTTTTGCCTGCCCCTCATTTTCTGTCCCTCCTCTCTCCTTCCTTCTCTTTTCTCTTTTCCTCCTCCTCCTTCTCCTTTTCTCATCCTCTTCTCCTCCTTCTCTTCTCTTTCTCCTCCCCTTTCCCCTCCTCCTCCTCCTCCTCCTTCTCTTTCTCCTCCTCTTCTTCCTCCTCCTCCTTCTTTTCTTCTCTTCCTTCCCCCTCCTCCTCTCTCTTCTTCTCTTCTCTCCTCTCTTCCTCTCCTCCTCCTTCCTTCTCTTTCTCTCCCCTCCTTTCTTCTTCCTCCTCCTTTCTTCTCCTCCCCTTCCCCTCTCCTCCTCTTCCTCCTTTTCTCCTCCTCCTCTTCTTCCTCCTCCTCCTTCTCTTCTTCCCCCCCCCCCCCCCAGGAATCAGTAATAGAAATTGCCGGAAAAGATTGGTCTGTTTACTTCTCTTTTCTCTTCTTTGCTTCTCTTCTTCCTTTCTATCTCTTTCTTCCGCCACTTTTCCCTCTTCCTTCTTTCATCTTCTTCCTCTTTTTTTTTTTCTCCTCCTTTTTCTTTCTCTCTTCCTTCCATCTTTCTCCTACCTTATTCCTATTTTTCTTTCATTCTTCTTTTCCTTCCTTCCTTCCTTTTTATATTTCCTCCTTATTCCCTTTATTCTTCTTCGTACTTCCATCCTACTGTCTTCTTGCACCTTCTTCCTTATTTGTCTTTTGTTGTTGTTTTGCTTTCTTCTTCTTT